AAAAGGTAAAAATAAAGCATTTCTTCAACTTCTTAAAAACAAGAAAAATGAAGAAATAAAGTACGTGTATTTCTCCAACTGCTTCGCTCTTTTTTTCTTTTTAAAGAAAACGGTAAAAATAAAGCATTTCTTCTACTACTTCACTCTTATTCGTTAAAGAAAAAGGAAGGAATAAAGTAGCCGTTTTTCTCCAACTGCTCCAGTCTTTTACGCGCATTTCTTGAACTGGTCCCCCCCCCCCTTTTTTTTTAAGTAGCGGGTTTTACGGCGCTCGCAACTGCATAAGGTCATATGAGCGCCAAGGGGTGGGTGTCAACAGAGAAGTCCTTAGGAGGAATCAGACTATTCTGCTCACCTGTCTAGCTTCAACAGCACAAAGTCTGCTTCGACTATCAAGGCACCCCGGAAATAGCAGTTCCCAAGAGAATGACAAACATGCAAAAGAAGTAGAGGAAAATGACAATAGTAAGGATTAGGAAAGAAAAAGCAGCAGTTCCCTGTTGCAGACCAGGCACAGTTATGAGCGTGACATGACGAATCAGCCCTTTACCATTCTACTGTGCTTGAACGAGAAATGTCCTCCCTTTGGGAATGGCCTAAAAGACACTACAGTCAGTGGCACTGCCTCGGGGAGTTCGTTTTTCCTTTTTAAATAAAAGGGTAAAAATAAAGCATTTCTTCACCTGCTTCTCTTTTTTTCGTTAAATTTTTTTACTTCTCTTTGCCTTCAATATACATGTCCAGCCAGAGATACTCTTAGTCAGTCTTCATGATGCGATTTGCGGAAGCTTGTTATCACATGAGGGTGGAATAAGGATGTAATTATTGATATAACATTTTGAGGACTTAATACTAACTGTCCTGTCCTCTCCTTTTAATTAATTGTGGCCTATAAAAAAATACTACCTCTTTGGAAACGTGGGAACGAAAAAAAAAGGGGGGGGGGGCGCTTTCAGTGCCTGTGGTGTCTGGGTTATTTCTGGAAGTAATTTCGCTTCTGGTCCTCCAATTTAAGTAGGTCTATATGTATTTCACGTACTTATTGTGTGTATATTTGTATGTGTGCCTGGTGTAAGGCCCCAGTTGTCGGCCAAGCTATTTTTAGCAACGAGGTGAAAAGGTAAAAAAAAGTTCTTACTGGTAAAACATTTACTTCCATCTGAAAATTACGTTTCACCACTTCTTAATAACATTATATTGAAATAATTATATAATATTTCAAGGCTTAATATTTTTATAAGTTAGTTTTACAACATGTTTTACTTCATCAAAGGTCAAAATGTGCTAAAAATTAAGGTTTTCTCCAAACTTTGTTTTTATACCCTAAGTTACAAAACTGGCATAAATTTAAATGTACTCAAGATGTTTTAAAATTTTAGAAACCAGCGTGTTCAGCATTGAATTTCCTCCGACTTTCAATATCCAAAGTTTTCGAAAACCGGGACCTTTCTCCAGGCACACACATGACATATTTATATATTATTGATGAATTTGCTGGTATCATGTTAAGAAGAGGCGACCGTGTAATTCTCTGGTCGACTGGGCATGGTTTTTCAGGCTTTTTTCATGCTCCGACGATCACAGAAGTGCCTCGGGATCGGTGATGAAGGCAGACAGCGATAGCCTGTAAGCACACACGTTTGCCTAGACATGTTGATTTTTTTTTTTACGAAACGCAATTGCACAGTTGACCATGACAACTATTACAAAGGCTACTGATCACACCACTTTCACTGTTTTGAAATTCTGATAGAGTCGATGTAGGGCAACAAACATACTAACACTGTCATCCCTTTGAAGATTCCCCCTTGTTTTTTTTTCGGCATACTTTTATCAAATGCTAAGGATGAAGTTGGCAACTTATCTCCAAATTTCTGGTCACTCTAAGCAAAGAGAGTGGAATGAGGGTTGTGTCCTGTCCCCCAGGACAGCCTTGGTGGTGCTTAAGTTAGCGCTAAATGAAGAAATAAATTGACGTCAAGATAAACCTGCGCATCATTTCCAACTTGACTCCGTCCCCATCGCTACCGCCATCATCGCC